CCATCAGAAATGGAACTCTCTTTAGGAAAGTCATATTCTGATCCCAAATGGAACTATATTGACAAGGGGGAGTTCTGATAATAGAAACTAGAAGTAGAGAATCCTAAACGTGGAAGGAGATGCATCACTTACATGTTTTCTTATTCCTTTGGATACACCCAATCTCTCCTATGAAATTCAGAAAACTGGGACTCTCCTTACGAAAAGTCAGATTCTGATCCCAAATGGAACTATATTGACAAGGGGGAGTTCTGATAATAGAAATTAGAAGTAGAGAATCCTAAACGTGGAAGGAGATGCATCACTTACATGTTTTCTTATTCCTTTGGATACACCCAATCTCTCCTATCAAATTCAGAAAACTGGGACTCTCCTTACGAAAAGTCATTTTCTGATCCCAAATGGAACTATATTGACAAGGGAGAGTTCTGAGATTAGAAATAAGAAGTAGAGAATCCTAATTTTGGAAGTGTTGGGATTTATGAGACAAAGCTCAACAAATGGTGGAAGCATTCACTTGGTGAATGAAACCACTTAACCCACACAAAATAAACTCGATCTCAAGAGAGAGAAGAAACCATCAACTTGGGATGGAATCCACACAATAAACATAAGTAGAACCGAATCTATGAGGAAGAAAACGATTCTATAAAGGGAAAGCATCTAGTTTGAGACTAATCTAAGCAATGAACACAACACATAGAGAGTTTGTGTTCTTGAGATGCAAGACTCAGTAATCTAGATGAGAGAAGCAAATAAAGAAGAGTTTAGTGAGTGTTTATGAAGTGATAAGGCTGCCTTAAGGGCAGTCACTACAAACGATTTTCTCTAAGGACTCTACATTGCGAAATAGAATGAAGAACAAGATAAAAGAGAGAAATCACTTCATTGATTCTGTGTAACATTTACAAGCTCGGTTACATCTCTATTTATAGAGAGAAAGGAAGAGAGGAAGCCCTAACACATGAGCCAAGACTGAGAGTGACATAAAGAGAGCGTTTTTGTCTTGTTAAGAGCTGAAAGTGACAGCTCATAAACGGTCACATGTGACTAAAGTCACATGTGAGAGCAGACTTGAATTTGAATTCGTTTCCCTCCTCTTCTTGTCACTTATGGGCCTTATTCCTTGCATTCTTTAGGCTTTCTTGGCGTCCTCTTCTTCTTCTTATCTAATGGGCCTCGGCCTTACACAACCTTAGACTTGTACGGACACCTCTTGGAGTTGACTTGGCCGTACAGTTCTTCTTCTTCTTTAGGCCGAGGCTAGACTTGATCAATAGCTTCTTCAGCCTTGTCTTGTCTTCTTTTTATCTTCTTTGAGAGATCTTGGAGTTGTCTTCGGCCTTGTCTTGATGTCATTTGCCTTGACACTCCTCTTCTTCCTCTTCTTTGACTTGGAGATGATCGGCCTTGTCTTGTTGACTTCGGCCTCACCTCTCCTTTCCTTCTTTCACTCTAATACTCCCCCGCAAGCTTGGTCGTCGAGACGCCAAAGAGGACCAGAGGCCAAGCTTGCAACACGCCAAACTGCCTCATTAAAAAACCTTCATAAAGAAAACCTCTTGGGATAAAACTTTATGAAGGGAAAAAGAGTATAGTTTAACGGTTGCTTGATGTAGCTATGGCCTTGGTTTGAATTTGCTTTTGAACCGGCTCCTCTCCCAAGTGTTTCCATTCCTTTAGCTCTTCTTGCCTTGAACTCTCTTCGCATGAATCCGTTCTTTGTCATCTCCTTTGAGGCTCTCCAGCATTTGAAGCTTTCTTTGGTCTCTTTGAGGCTCTTATGGTCTCCTTTTTCCCTTAAACAAGAGATAAAGAAGAAAAGATTAAGTAAGGCCATAAGGAATATCAAAGAAACAAATAACCAAATGAGGAACTTCAAATCCTATGAGGAATATCAAGAATAAAAGATGTACAATAGACTAAGCAATTCATAGAAAGAATCCGCAAATGAACTTAAGGGAATGAAATAAAGGCAAATAAAAAAATGGGATAGAGTTTAGAGTTTAGTCTGATTTATATGAAGAGGAATGTGAGGACTTTGAAATGCGGTTTGGTCACCAATTAAGCTCCCCCGCACACTAAACATGTCTTGAGCCTTGAAATTATGTGCAAAATAGATCTTGACATCTTGTGCACATCCGATCTTCAGCTCTTAAACCAAAGGCACTCGCAAAGACTTTGGAATTGATTCATAGCCTTCCATCAGCTTGTTTCTCCACTTGAACTTCCACCTTAGCCACCTTGGGTCTGCTATCTTCAGGTCAGCCTCTTTGGTCTGCCATCTTCAAGTCAGCCAGGTTAAACTAGGTTGGGCTTGTCTTTTGGTCTCTGAAACTTGATGGCCCTCTTGATCAATTCTAAGCTTGTTGCTGCGCCTTCTTTTGGCTTCTTTGAAGCCTTAATGGATCTGAATACAGCCACCAGCTGACTTCCAGCTCACATGACCCATTCAGACCTCTCAAACTCGCCACTTCTTCTTGAGATAGCAAACGAGCCAAACACCATCCTTTTTAAGACCCGAACCTGTTTAAATTTGAAGACAGATTCTAAAACAAGAGATTGTATTTGTTAGAGTATAGAGAATAAGCAGAAGAATAAAAGAGAATTTGGAGAATAAGGAGAATAATGGAGAATAAAGAGAATATTGGGGAGAATAAAGAGAATGAGAGAATGGAGAATAGAGAATAAGCGGAAGCAAAGGAGAATGGGAAAAGAAATTTTGCTCAAGAGTTCTTATGGACAGAGTTTTGCTCTGTTTTCTTGAGTTAAGCCAAAGCAAATGCCAGCCAAAAACACCAAGAATCCCAAGACTATGGAGTTTTAATGGCTGGAACAAGATAAACTGATTGGAAAATTAATTTCTCCATCAATTAACACAAGAACTCAAGGAAAAACCCATTTACACGAGCTTCCCATGAGAATTTTAATAAATAAAAACGACCACAAAAATTACACAATGCTTAGTGCTTCTCATGGTTTAGAAAAAAACAAACACTGATGGTTAAAAACAATTTTTCCACCAGTTTTTTTTAAAGATCTATTTCTCTTTTTGTCAAGCTTGTTCTTTTGGTCACAAGTCAATACCAGATTCAAGCTTTCACAAATAAGAGAAAATAAATCAGAAAGAGAACTCCACCCTTGTCCTCGTGAAAAGTCATTGGACTAAGTGAAGAACACAAAACACAAAAAAAAAACAGAAACAGAAAGAGAATCGAGTTTTAGATGGAACCAAGAAAGATGGCTCTGATACCATGTTGGGATTTATGAGACAAAGCTCAAAAAATGGTGGAAGCATTCACTTGGTGAATGAAACCACTTAACCCACACAAAATAAACTCGATC